TAAGCATTGACAATCAAACATAAAGAGCAAGTACTAAAAACTCTTCAATATCTAAGCCCTAGCTACCATCTACAAGCATGTTTTATATCATGAAAATCTGCTTATACTACTAACTACTACCCTATCATACAGTACAACTAGTGTCGCTAGTTTCAAAATCCAAAAGCAAGAACCAAAATTCTGCTGAAAGGAAAAGAAGATGGATTGTTCGCCGGGCCGGTCCATGGCTTAGTTTCCTCTCCGAAAGATGCCGGCTTTCCCCTCCTTCGAATCTATGCGTGCCACAGCCTCGCAAAAAGGACAATACACTTATGAACCGATGTAGGAAAGCTAGGACCAGCCGGATCGATCGGTTAACAAAGACATGTGTGTGCAACTTACTCCGGATTGTTAATGAGCTACACATGCGGCCACCATCTCAGCAGAAAGTCGAAAGCCAAGAGACAAATAAACTTTATTAGTTGTTGGGGGGATAAAGATGTCAATGCCATCTCATTGCCGCCGTTAGTTTAGTGAGGGGTAAAGGGGGGTCATAGATAGGGATCAGGGCATGCACTTGGCCGGGGGCAAAGACAATCGCTTGCATGTGTGAAGAATCTTCCCCCACATCATCCCACCCATTGCTCACTAGAACAGTGAGGCGTTTTTTCAGCAAAGCAATCACTACAGTGGCATGGGGTGAGCTGTTCCTGCATAGTTTATGATTGGCAGAACTGGCTTTAGTAGCCGGGTCAGCAAGGCACCAACAACCGTGTGTACCTGATGCACGCAGATACAAAGAAAAGAGGGCATTCTTTTTCTTTTTAAGTAAGAGCATATGGATATCCATGATATGTTGTTGTACAAGAGTTTATCATTCCTTGATGGAGAAGAGCGGTCAATATATTTGAACAGACACGAGATCTCTAGAAGAACTTCATTTTACACCCTATTCGCTCCCTCGGCATGCTTCTTTGTTTCTCCCGGTCAATAGAAGAATGTGACATTGGACCGGGTTTGGGTTCCCGGTTATCGGGAAAGGGAGGGGGGGGGTATCCCATATTTGACAGAGTCAATACGGTTTAGAGCAATGACATGAATCTATCTGTTGAGATTATTTCATATGTGTGCATCGATAGATGCAAGGGTGAGGGATATCCCCTTTTTGAATGTTGTGATAAAGGAAGAAACCTGGTGGCATGTGCTAGATGGTGAGTCTACACACCATGCATGAATGATGTACGACGGAGAGTAGGAAGCAAGGGTGGTGGCCGGCAATGCTGGAGGCGAAAATGTGGTCAGGTTGGTATCAACGTTGTGGGGGTGGTTCCAACGGATCAATGAAGGCCGCGAAGGAGGGTAGATAAGGAGAAGAAGGAGGTTCTTGGATGTCGTAGAGATGGGCTAGGATTAGTGCATGGCCATGTAAACCCAAGGCCCGAGGATATCCCCTTTCGAAATGTTGTGATAAAGGAAGAAACCCGACAAGCGATGCTGGAAAGCGAGTCTACACACGGTGTATAGATGATGTAGGAGCAGAGTAGGGAGCAAGGGTAGCGTCCAACAATGTAGGAAGCGGCAATGTGGTCAAGTCGGTATCATCATCGTGGGGGTGGTTCTTATGGACCATTGAAGACCGTGGAGGAGGCATATAAGGAGAAGAAGTAGGTGCTTGGTGCCAGGGTTACTGTGGAGCTACATAAATCCAAGGGTGGCACGAACAAGTGGGTTCATTTTTTTTGCACATTTGCTAAACATCAGGTACCTAAGATTTTTCTTTACGCCAGTCACTTTCTGCGAAGCGCGAGGCTAAAGGCGATGGCGTTGTGAGGAGCACCAACAAGCGCTTAACCTTGTGAGGGTTGATACGTCCATTTTGCATCATGTTTTCCTACTGATATTTACAATGTTTTTTATCATTATTACACTTTGTGATGCAATTCTAATGTCTTTCTCTCTGAAATTGTAAGATTTACATGAAGAGGGAGATTGCCGGCAGCTTGAATTCTGGACCTGAAAAAGCCACAACAGATATACCTATTCTACAGAGCTTGAATGACATGAAATTTTACGGAGAACTTTTATGAAATATATAAAAAATACTAGAGCAAAGAAGTACCAGAGGGGGCCCACCAGCTGCCCACAAGGCAACAGGGCGCGACCACCCCCTTGGGCACACTCTGATGCCTTGTGGGGCCCACAGCTGGCCTCTGGCTCCCATCTTCTGCTATATGAGGGGTTTTGACCTAGAAAAAATAAGGGGGGACTTTCGGGATGAAGCGTCGCTGTCTCGAGGCGGAACCTGGGTAAGAGCACTTTTGCTCCCCAGCGGAGGATACTTCCCTCCGGGAGGGGGAAATCAAAGCCATCAACATCACCAACGATCTTCTAATCATGGGAGGACCAATCTTCATCAACATCTTCACCAACACCGTCTCATCTCAAACCCTAGTTCATCTCTTGTATTCAATCTTTGTCTCAAAACCTCAGATTGGTACCTGTGGGTTGCTAATAGTGTTGATTACATCTCGTAGTTGATGCTAGTTGGTTTATTTGGTGGAAGATTATAAGTTCAAATCCTTAATGATATTCAATACCCCTCTAATTTTGAACATGAATATGATTTATATATGAGTAGTTACTTTTGTTCTTGAGGACACGGGAGAAGTCTTGTTATAAGTAATCATGTGAATTTGGTATTCGTTCTATTTTTTATGATATGTATGTTGTTGCTTCCTTTAGTGCTGTCATGTAAACGTCGACTATATGACATTTAATCATACTTTGGCCTAAGGGAAGGCATTGTGGAGTAATAAGTAGATGATAGGTTGCTAGAGTGATAGAAGTTTAAACCCTAGTTTATATGTTATTCTGTAACATGCTTATTTGGATTCATATGTTTCATACTATAGCTAGATTTATCTTAATTCTTCTTTCGTAGTTGTGGATGCTTGCGAGAGGGGGTAATCATTAGTGGGAGGCTTGTTCAAGTAAGAACAGAACCCAAGTATCGGTCCACCCACATACCAAATTATCAAACTAACGAACGTGAATCAAATAAACAAGATGAAAGTAAATAGATGATAATTCCCATGTGTCCCCGAGAACGCTTTGCTTATTATAAAAGAACGTTCCGGCTTGTCCTTTGCTATAAAAATGAGTGGTCCACCTTGCTGCACCTTTGTTGCTATTGCTACATGTTACTTGTTACGAATTGCCTTACTATCAAACTATCTGTTACCGCTATTTTCAGTGCTTGCAGAGAATACCTTACTGAAAACTGCTTATCATTTCCTTTTGCTCCTCGTTGGGTTCGACACTCTTACTTATCGAAAGGACTATGATTGATCCTCTATACTTGTGAATCATCAAGGGCGAGTTGAGGATGAGGGAAGCCGACGATAGCCGGCGGGCTGAAACTTGACAAGTGTGGGTGGGGAGGGAGGTGCCAGAGTTGTTGCGGATCGGGGGAGGATGGACCTTAATTAGCTGGATGGTCATGGCGGTGGGAGAGGTTGAGAGGAGCGCAGTGTGCCAAGGCATATGGGGAGCGCTGCCAACCTCTGGTGCTGATGCCAAGAGGATGGGATGAAGCAGGCCAACCGTTTCACGGGAGGAAGAAGAAGGTTAGGTTGAAGATGAACAATGCTCTATTTCTGGCCATTGGATCGTAATCTAGTGATCCTCAGAAAAGTGATGGTGCAAAAAAAGGTTTTCAAATGCCAGAGTGATAGGCGCTCCATTTTTTTTCCTAGCAACTAGCCTAAAAAAATTCAGCCACACCATCCTAACAGTATACCCTGGTGGCTTCGAATACGACGGTCAGAAAGCGTTAAGCTCCTAGTGAAAGCAAGTTGATCTCAGTCTACCCTTGGTAACGATTAGGGTTGAGAGAGCCTCTCGGCAACGTGTACCACTTTGCCGAGTGTATGCTCTCGACAAGGACATGGTGGAACAGCTATCGTGAAGTCACTTTATTTTGTCGAGACACACAGTTTGGCTCTCGGCAAACGGTTTGCTGAGTACCGGGCGGTTGGTTCTCGGCAAAGTTAAGTTTGACTGAGAGGTGTACACCGGGCGGTCTTTGCCGAGAACAATTCTCAGTAAAGGTTTTGCCGAGTGTATTTGGGCCTTTGCCGAGTGTTGCTGGCACTCTAGCGTAGGGTGTAATTGAGAGTGAGGGCGAGAAATGTGGATGGTTACATGAAATTATATAAAATTCTTAACAATTGTGCATTAGAGGGTCCTTTTTTCCCATGGACATATATTTCCATATACTGTATCTACTCTATAATAAAGACTGCATGATAGAGTGAAGTCCCATCTCCCTGCCTAACTCCTGTCTGTGGA